GACGAGAGAGAGAGAGAGAGAGAGAGAGAGAGAGTCCCAGCAACTTTCTTCACCAGAGACAGAAATGGATGGAAATCCCAGCAACTTGTTTCAGCAGAGGACGGGAATCTGAATCCAAAAAACCACAACTTGTTTCTTAGCCAGAAGAAGGAACACTGAAAACCAGAGTAGAGTAAGAGTAGTGGGAGGATGAATGAGAGGGGTATGTGTATTGGACGGCGGGTGGAGGTTGGATTGGGGTGTGTTCCGACAGCTTAGCCGTTGGATTTAAATTCAAAATAAAGGCCAAAACAAATCCATCGTCCCGCCCACCGCATCCATTCAAATGAGATCTTCCATCTTTTTTTGATATCTCCCGGGCCCATATCTGATATTACGCTTCTTTTTGTGGTTATTTTTATGCAATTTTTTTTTTTTTTGAAAGTTTTTGAATCTATGCTAAGTAGCCAGCCATCAAAAACTAAGGGCGGCAATGGCAAATTTGAGGTTTGAATTATGGCACCCATTTAAAAATAACATTTTCTTTCTTAAATTATCCAACGTCTCTATCTATTCATTCATTCCAAGTACGAACTTATATTATCACCTCACCACAAACCATATGCTTTGTCCCTTGTATTGTCCAAATATGTAAATTGCTTGGGAAGGAGAGAGAATCCATTTTCAAATGGATTTTTATTTTTCTTTTTCTTTTTTCAGATTTTGGAATTCACTTTAAAATTATAGGATGAATATTTGAAAGAATAATAATAATAATAATAAGATTTTGAGAACTATCCCAAAACGGCTTACATGTAATCCTAGGGCGTGATTTTTTTCGACACATCCAATATAAGTATTCAAAATTTTCCCAGGTTAATCATTTAGATTAAGTCATATCCCCAAATCTTTTTTCCAATTAGTCATTTGTATTGAGTAAGTCACATCCCAAAAATTTGAGGCCTTAAGAATATTTTTCACCTCGAACCTAGCTGAGGCAAGCAAATAATAACAACAATAAAAATCCGAGCAAATATTAACAGCTGAGGCCTAAAATTTGAGGCCTTAAAAATAATTTTGTTTGTAAAAATATTTACAGCAATACTAATTTAAGGAAAAATTCAGACACTTCATCCATATTTTTAAATAAAAAATTATAAAATAATATTATTTATCTTTGATACAAAATGATCACGATTAATCTTGACGATTAAAATGAAATTGGGTGGCTGCATTATTAAACATAAGAGATAAAAGGCCAAACTATTTTTTTGTTGTTTATTCATTGAAAGGACAAAAGGCACAGGGAGAATATTTCAAGGATCTTCTTTTCGTGCAGGTTACATCGCTTTTATATTTAATTATACAAATGAAATTAAACTGAGAAGGCCCCATGTCCCAAGGGTCTTTACAGATGAAAAACCCTATTCCCCATAACTCACAATAAATTATACATGCAAATATTAATACAATATGATGCATAGAATGTTGTCGCTGCATATAAATTTAAGCATGGACGACTGCGATGTTCCTGAAATAAATAGTTGAGTGAATATCAACCGTACATCACTACGAAGCACATTTATAAGAAGGTCCCACAGCTACCACTTCTCTCACTTCACGTGCTCGTGAATGAGCAATACCTCAGATTCCAGATCCAAATGATCCCTTACTCCGGCGGAAGTACGCTGTTCATCTACTCCCTTAGACAAAATTCATCCTTGTAACATTTTTTTAGATTACTAATTTTGGGGAATAACGCAGCGAATAACCTCAAAGAAAAAATAAAAATATACCAAAAAAAAAAATGACATCCTAAGATTGCACAGGAATTGTCTAAATTTTTTTAAAAGAAGTTCTGGATAGTCAAGAACTCAAAATCCATTTTTTTTTTACTTAAAAATAATCATTTACTGATATTTAGATCGATTCCAAAATTTAGAATTAAAAAAAAAAAACTTTTCAATAACTATTTTGTTTAAAAGTCGTAAAACATGCTCCCGCGGAAGCATGCTTTACCAGCACAATTCCTAAATCTTCTCTTAGAAAAACGGATCCTCCTAAGATCCATTTCTTCGAAAGAAAGTAACCCCTTTCTTGTCAAAAGAAAGCAACCCCTTTAACATACATTTAAATTTAAATATTTATTTTAGCTCTAGGACCATGGATTAAGAACGAGGCGGGGCTCGGAATGGGCCGGGCTGGGTACGGGTTGACCCTGGCCTAATAGGTCTAAGTTGGATCTATACTAGATCCACTGGTCGGATAGAGTCCAAGTCTATGGATAAAAAACATCAGCAATTATTTTATATATTTTATAGTATATATTTATTCTCAATTATATCTATTTTACAATATTATGTATCATGTCGGTCATGTCAGGTCGAACCCAACCCATACCCATTTTGGCTCTACCCGACCATGTAGGTCCATTACCTGGGCCTAAAACTGACTTTGGTTGGGTTGACCCCTCGAGTCCACGGGTCATCCCGATCAATTTCCCATCCCTTACCCGTGGGCTTACAAACGGGCAAGTTGCCAACCCGGTAAGCTGGGGCCCAAACCTAGACCCGGACGTGTACACACACTCTTATAGGTTGATAAAAGTCTCCACCTTATACTCTTGAAACAAGATTGCACTTCAAATTAGAAAGATGCAGTTTCATTGCCGAAAAGCTTTGTGATGGCGTGAAAATCTCTTGTTATCTCTAATTAAGAAATTTAAAGCTAAAAAAATGATGCAGTTTGAGTAAATCTATAAAAAATTAATTTTTTTTAAAAAATAGACGGTCCAAATAATTTATTACGAAATGCATTATTTTCATGACTTGAATTTTCTTTTTTCTCTATCCAGATATCTCGAGATTGAGATGACCAATTTAATGATCTTCTAGGGAAATGCTGGCGTAGGCCCACTAGCCTACAGTTACATATAGGAATTTGGGCCGATTTGACAAATACGACTTCATTTTGTATTTGATTTTTTTTTTCTTTTCTACAAATCCAAATCATGTGAAATTTTAAGCGTCTATTATTCTCATCAATGCACCTAATAAAAATATATAAAAAAAATTACAATAAATAAATTGATCAATATACCCTTGAAAAGTTTTGGGGGTATTTTAGCCAATTCAATTTTTACGAATTATTTTTAAAATATTTTTATTGGGTGCGTACTGACGAGAAGAACGTATGCCTAAACTTTCAAGATATTTGGATTCGTAAAAAAAATTAAATTCAAATTCAAATATAAAATAAGGTCGTGACTGTCAGATTGGCCTATATTCAATTTGAACCATTGGACTCATATGTTCATATGAATTAGAGGGCTAATCTCAATATTTTCCATATATATACACATACCTATACACACATGTTGGGAGGACCATCTCTGCATTGGGAGGACCATCTCTGCATTGTGTCCCTTGAGACATAAACCATCCATCCAAAGATGGATATAAATGATGGTCCTTCAAATAAAGGTTTGAATATTTCCCTCAAAAATTATAATTTATAATTTTTAAAATTATATTGTTTACATATGAATAATCTCTATGTTAGGGTTTATTATTTAAAAATTAAGGTCAAAATCTATTTTTAAAATATGTTATCAAGGGAGACCGCATCATCTCTCTATCCATATAGAGAGAGATAGAAAGAACTCCGTGTTACCGCTCAAGCTTGGGAACATGTGTAATTATTAGTAAAAGACATTAGGTACTTTTTGTAATCTTTGTAAAGAATTATTTGAAAAATTTTCTGAAGAACAAGGATATTTGTATTAATAAAATTCCAGGATATTATTTTTAAAATGGCATTATACAATTGCGGTATTGTCTAATGTGCCCATATTATCTTTTGTGCGAATTTTTGATGTACCGTTATTAGTGATTAAGTCATTCAATAAGCCATTTATCAAGGGACACTATTTATCTTTAGACACGGTTTTTAGGAGGCCATATAAAAATGAGTTGACTCGTAAAAATCTATTTTTTTAGATGGATTTTCTTTTATCTTTAGTACAACGAGGTGATAATTAAATCCTAGTCACTAGATGTCCAATTGGAGAGCTTGCAATATGTCACGAAGTTTAATAAATTTTTGATATCTATTTTGTGAGAGGTGACTTGGTGGTTAGAAAGATGGATGCGGTTAGTATGCAGTCAGCCCTTATATTCTAAAAATGCAGGGATGGCAATAAATATATTTTTTAAATATAATTTGATTTTAATTTTTAGAAAATATATAATGTTTAATATGATGATAGTGAATGTACAATCTTTAACATGGGTATAAGAGTGTCTCATAGGATCATTACTCAAATAATAATTATAGTAAAAAAACATTCGAACTTTTGCTTTTAAGAGGACCAAAGATGGATGATTTATACCTATGCCTGGACCACATATTGTAGAAATGCGGCCAGCATGCATAAAACAATTGTTCTAAAAACATTCATGTTGAACTTTGTTGTGAGAGAAAGAGAGGTGAAAAAAACAAAAAGAGAGAGGAGAGAGGAGAGAGGTGATTGAAACATTCATGCTAAAGTTTGTTTGCATTTGTCAAAGTGAAAGAAAAGCTGCATCCTGCTGTCTGTTACCCTGTGTTTTACCTCGGTTCTACACCTCCATCTGCCTGTCTCGCGTCTTTGGACACTTCTAGATTCTCTCTGCATAAATAATGCTTACAAGAAAACCAAGTCAAAGAGTAAACAGAAATAAGAGAGAGATTCAAAAACACGAAATAGAGAGAGGCAACCCTCGTGTCCTGAACGAGGAGTTTGGGGTAAAAGACAATCTTTGTTTCCTTTTTAAGTGGCATACGCCGTGGACAGACAATTTCCCTTTGCTTTTCAGATCACTTGCTATTGCTAAGGAGAGAGAGAGAGAGAGAGAGAGAGAGAGTCTATTTTTGCAATCTCATTTATGCTAGAGAGAGAAAGAAGAGTCTCTTTTCCCCTCTCATTTCTGCTAGAGAGAGAAGAGTCTGTTTTGCCATCTCATTTATGGTATAGAGAGAGAGAGAGAGAGAGAGCTCACATTTATTTATCCTACTACTGTAGTTTTCAACGTGTCGTATTCCTTGATTTTATGTGTCTCTTCTATCCGTCTCTACCATGGGATTTTGTGGTTTTTGTTGGCTTGTGTTATTTCCTTTGTATAATGTAATGTAAAAATATTATTAGTGTATAGGAGACACAAGTTGGTGAGAGGAGCATTTCAAGAACCTCGGGGAGGGGGGGAAGGGTTCATGCATCATACAAAAATTGATCCCCCCCCTCCTCTCTCTAAAACTGTTAACACACAGTCTCTCTCTCTCTAAAACTGTTAACACACACAGTTTCTCTCTCTCCCTAAAACTGTTAACACACTCTCTCTCTCTCTAAAAGTGTTAACACACTGTCTCTCTCTCTCACTAAATGGAATAGCTAGTGTGTTCATCATTCTAAAAGATGGACCTCACAATTTCATGTACTTGGGTTGCCAAATTGTCATTTCTATTAAAAATATACTCAATTTACTTGGAAAAATCCCATACTTGTAACATCCTTAAATTTCTTTATCTTGACCACAATAATTGTGGATGAGAAAATAAAAAGGGGATTTTAAGCTAATAAAAACACTGTATCCTACGATATAGACGATTCATTTTTTAGTGTTCACAAATCTGCTCGATCTACGTCAAGTTTTGGAATATCAAATTCATAATATGGGGCAAAAATGAATTTTCAAAGAAAACCAAATGCTGCTCAATTTGCCCCCCTTTTCTTTGGTTTTCTTTATAATTTAAAGAGTCAATCGTAGTGGGTGATTTTGAATTTTCAAACTAATGGGTAGTAGACAAAGAACATCTTGTCCTTACACGCACTCTTTCTCTCTAAATTAATGGTCGATTGAAAAGAGAACATGTATATGGTATGGAAGAATGTCTTTTTGAAGCGGAACACACATCTCAACATATTCCATCATCTCTATCTTCTTTTGATTGACTCCTTAATTTGTTAGAGAGTGAGGTATCATTAATGAAAAAAGTTTATATAAGGTTGTAAAAAATCCTTAAGTAAAGTTTTTTTAATGTTGAGAAAAACTATAATTGATCAATTCGACATCAAAATATATATATATATATATATAAAGATTTTGAGTCTCATAAATAGTGCATCTTGCGACACATTATCTTGACCGTCCATTTTCAAGATTTTCATATGTTTATAGATCTACTTGATTTTAATCTTTTTTGGAGTTTATAATTTTATAATTAGATATGAAAATAGAATTTTAGATAAGAAAAAAGTTTATATGCAGTTTCAACCTTAAAATTTAGAATTAAAGATGCACCTCAATAATCTATCGAAAAATGTTTTTTAATGTTGAAAAACCCTCCAATTGATCATCGAGATGTATGAATATAAAAAAAATAAAAATAAAAACAAATTTTGAATCTCAAAAATAGTGCATCTTGCAACACATTATCTAGACCGTCAATTTTCAAGATTTTCATTTTTTTTTTTAGATCTACTTGAATTTATCCATTTTAGAGTTTAAATTTTTATAATTAGAGATGAAAATAGATTTTAAGATAATCCTAAGAAGTTTCTACGTCAAAATTACATATTATGATAAAAATTCGAGGTACGCCTTAATTGGATTGTTTAAGGTTGCAACTTTATAGAAACCACACGTATCATTAATATATGAGTTTAGTTTAATGGGAGACAATTGTCGCTAAACATTTTTTAGTGATTTTTTTACGGACTCTAAAATTTATCCTAGAATACGAAATACTCTATTTATAGATAGAAATCACCTAGAAGGTCGGTCAACCTAGTTTTTAAAGTTTTCAAAATTACCCTTAGGTCTAAAGGCATACTTGGACTGAATTTAATTTTTTTTTTTTGGTTATTAGGGCACTATCCCAAAACTCAGAGCACTCTCCTACTAACGAAAAACCTAAAAAATAAAAATATAATTTTGAAAAAAATAAAATAAAGCAAGTGGACCGACTTTCTTTGTAATTTCTACTTGTAAACGAAACATTTGGTATTCTAGGGTCCATAGATAAATCACTCAACAATTTTCCATCCTTAACACAGGAAGAGAGAAAGAAAGCAATATCTCCTTGCTTAGCAAAATTACCTATCTTTTAATTAGATGGGGATGGAATTCTCTCTTTTAAACATGTAGAGTTATTTACAAACTCACGAATCTTAAATAACTCTTTTTATACTTGAAAATTATAATCAAGGTCGGTTAACACGATTTTCTATTATACAATTATTCCTGGGTTCGATGATTTCATCTTCGGACCGCTCTTGTTTTTGTTTTTTTTTTTTTCAAAACTTATGTTTCTGTCCGAGGTTGAAATTCTTGACCGCAATTTAAGTTTTGAAAAAAAAATGTGTTCCGAGGATACCATCCTTGATTGCTTGCAAGTTTTGGAATAAAAAAAGCGGTTCAGGGATGCCATCTTTAGACCACTTTTAAGTTTTTTTTTTTTCCAAAACTTAAATTACGATCCGAGGATGGCATTTTCGTACCGTTTTTTTTTTCAAAACTTGAATTGCGGTTTTTTTTTTTTTCTAAATTTAAGTATTGATCGGAGAATTTCAACCTTGGACCACAACTTAAATTTTGAAAAAGAAAAAAGTAATTCGAGAATTTTATCCTTAGACCGTAACGTAAGTTTTAAAATAAAAATAAAAGATCCGAGACTGGCATCCTCTGATCGAAAAATAATTTTGTAAAAAAATAAAATAAAAAATGATCGCCTTGAATGTAATATTCATATAAAGAGAGCACAGGGCATTTTCTCTAGTTACATAAGAGTCCGTACGTAATTAACTCAAACATAAATGGAAAACTGGTACGTAGCATTCAATATTGGAAACTTGTTTCTCTTTAATATTGTTGCACAAAAGGAAGGGGAGAATAGAAGGAGCAGGATGTCATGAAATCACTTTCCATTAGGGCCCATCTAATGGAGACGCAGAGCCTGAAAATACTTTTTTTCCACTCCATGGAAAATGATAGGTCCACCTACTTGCAGGACTCCTTCATCATCTCAGAACCCCGCACCCCTCTCTCTCTAAATGAGATTATAATATAATCTCTCTCTAGACGAGATTAAATCATTAGAGATTATACATCGAATGTTTGTATTATGCTTTGATAATAAGGTAGAATAAATAACTTAGAATGTCCAAAGCCATATAAAACCCACTCCACTTTTCAAATTCACAATACAAGCAGCCAGAGAGAGAGAGAGAGAGAGACATAGAGATAGAGCTAGATATAGATATAGATATAGAGAGAGATGGAAAGTCGTCTGAAGCAGAGAATCTCTCGCATGTTGCAGGCGCCATTTCAGTCATGCAGGTCTTCTTCGTCATCTTCATCATCAAGCAAGAGCAAGAAAGACCCTTTGGACATGGTTCAGAGCCCGGTCTTTTACCCTTCTCGTCTCTTTTTCAAAAACAAGAACAATCTTATTAACACGAGGCCCAGAACCAGAACCAGAACCACCATGGCTTCGAACCCAGTGTTCTTTAGACCTTCTCCTTCTTCTGAAAGAGAAGGAAGAGAATGCCCCCCTGTAACCCCCATCTCTCCTCGAACCTCTTATTACGAAACCAAAACCCAGTATCATAGAAACAAGGAGTTGCAGAGATATGATCACTTTTGTAGCAACAATTATAGGAGGAGCACTTCCTCTTCAGCTACAGGGTGGTTCAGCAGCGAAGAGGAGGTAGAGAGAGAAAGAAGAGAGAGAGAGGAGGAAGTGGAGAGGTTGTTTTGGTCCAAGAGTTATTCGTCTCATTCCTCTGAATTAGAGTTGATGAGTGGGAAGCAAAGGAGGAGGAGAGGAGAGAGAAAGCAAAGGAAGAAGAGAGAGAAGGCGTCAAAGAGTATGGTGGTTGAGGAGGTGAGAGTTGAGAAGAAGGTGAGAGAGAGTGTAGCAGTGGTGAAGAGGTCGAAGGATCCTTACAGTGATTTTAGGGCGTCGATGCTAGAGATGATATTGCACAAACAGATATTTGGAGCTGAAGATTTAAAGCACCTATTGCATTGCTTTCTCTCTCTAAACTCCTCTCACCACCATCATGTCATTATCCAGGTTTTCACAGAGATTTGTCAGGCTCTATTCTGTGACACTTCTTTTTGCACCCCATGATTCCTTTCTTCTCTCTTTCTCTCTCTCTCTCTCAAGGTTTATATCAAAGTGCTTTTCTTTCAATTAAAGTTTGGGTTCTTATTGTATCAGATCAGATATGAGTTCTCTGTATACTTAGTTTTCCTCACAAGTTATTATTTTGAGTTCATGTTTGTAAGACTAAGAAGAAATGGTGGGATTATCCTGCATCTTCTTCCTTAAGGAGAGAGAGAGAGAGAGAGGGGTTCCCGTTCATCATCTTCCTTGAAAAGTAGGGAAAGAGATGCTTTGTTTTTGGACTTTATTTCATGAAACAATGGTGTCATGCACATACCTCACGATACAATTAGTCGTGAACATGTACTCGCTTTCATTATCGTTTAACGATATGTCAAAAGCTTAGAGAGAGAAAGGTGGGGGCAGAGATTTAACAATAGTAAACAGTAGCCGACTGCGTCGGAAGAGAGAGAGAGAGAGAGAGAGAGATGGGAGAGAGATAAAGTAGAAGTAGTAGAGAGAGAGAGAGAGAGAGATTTAAAAATGGTTTGAAAGAGAGAGAGAGAGATTTGAAAGTGGGGAAATTGGTTTTGAAGTCAGCAAAGATGATGTGCATTGGAAGTGAGAGAGAGAGAAGGGCACATTGAAAAGTCCATTTTCTTTCTGTTGAGTTCTCACGAGGTCTGCTCCCCTTTTTCACAGAATATGAAAGGAAAATGCTTTTCCCCTAAGAATTAATGACGGAATTTGTTTACATTTGAATTTGGCATCCACAAGAATAGGCGACAATTCCCAAACAATTCTTTGCAGAGAAAGATAAGACCTAGGTAGATACCACGCTTTTTCTCTCTCTCCCTCTACATAGTTGCTTCTTAGTTATAATATGTTGTCATGCATGATTAACGGGCCTTTTCTCCATTTCTCTCTCTCTCTAGAGATACCTCCAAGCTTAGTTAGTTATCTCTCTCTATAGAATAGCTAGCTTAGTTAATTATGCGCTCATCATAAATAGGCCTTTGTCCAAGCAGTTGATTTCTCTCTCACATAAAGACAGAAAAAAGCTATCTTTCTTGCTCTTTGCAATGGCAACAGTGATATCTCTTTCTTGCTCTTTGCAATGGCAACAGTGATATGACAGGGATGTTATGCATAAAGGGTAACTGGAGATACTGCCGTCTGCAACACTTTCCATACTTTTAATGTGGTTAGAGAGAGAGAGAGAGAGAGGATCGTTTTTTAAATCCCAACGCTCCTGTTTTCTGACATTCCTCTTTGCATAGCTGCGTATGTGTGTGTGAGAGAGAGAGAGGTGAATTCTCCTTTTGTGGCTTGGAGAGAGAGAGAGAGGGCATGAAGAGAGAGACAGGGACCCTAGGCAAAGCCGGGATCTGTTTGGCCTGGGCAGCCCTAAGTGGCACATATTGTGATCTCTTGGCCAGGCTTAGCTGAGCCTGGCGGCACGGGCCATTGTCATGTTTAATATGTGTGCTAAGCCGGGCCGGCTCGGGCCATTGTCAGGTCTAATACATGTGCTAGCTTGCAAAATCTATTTTGGTAACAAAAATCGAGCTCACTTCGAGCTCTAATTAATAAAAATGATTGTGACCTCGAGATTTGTATAAAATGTCAATCACCCCTCAAAATAATGCTGAAAATGCAGTCTTGGTGCCACAAATGCAATGATACAAAAATCTATTGTTACCCCCAATCATGGAATTTAAAGTTTCAGAAATGGAGACCATCAAACAGATCTACAAATGGTTGAAAATCCAAAAAATGGACGGTCCAGATAATGTATTAGAAGATGAACTATTTTTAGGATTAGAAATTCACTTTTTATCATTTTTATGAATCTCGAGGTCGAGATGATCGATTTAAAGGTTTTCCAGCATAGGAACAACCTTCTTTACTTGTACAGTATAAAGTTGGCACCTTATATAAACTTTTTCCAAAGATAAATAATCTCTTTGTGGACAATCTTTTGGTGGAATATATATACTTTTGGGGACCACCAACGTTTGATTTTTACGGGATGGATGATGGTGACAATATTTTTATGGAATATATATACTTTTGGGGACCACCAATGTTTGATTTTTACGGGATGGATGGTGGTGAATCAACAACTGTATTTTGTGACATTATTGTTAGCTCAAATCCAAAAATTATATGCACGTATGATTCATTGAATTATCAAATATGCAAAAATCTGTATGATTCATTGAATTATCAAATATGCAAAAATCTAAAAATTATATACGTGGATGATTCATTGAATTATTAAAGATGCAAAAATCTAATTTCACAATAGCCCCTCCCCATGTTTTTCATTTCAGCATGCCTTCCAATCTTCTCTAAACTTCTAAGCACAAAATTGCCAAACCAATTCCACCCCTCCCATGGATCTTTTCCCTCCTCTCCCTGCAATGTAGTTAGACAACTTTTAAAATTATTTGTCTCAGGTCGGATTTTTTACTTTTTGTTGGATTTTTTTCTTGGCGTTTACGCTCAGATCAGATTTGAATTTTGAAAGGGGTGTGTACAAATAATTTAGGCGACATGTACCTTGAGGGAAGCAGAACCTTCCTTAATTAGTATAGCTGAAATTGTGACAATTTTATCGTAAAAAGTTGAGAGGAGAGAAGGGAGCGGACGAGGGGTGCAATGATATTTTTAGCAAAAAATTAATACCCTCCAAAAGAAAAACATGGAAGTGAGTAGTAAAATTGGAATAGATATTTCCCATTCGTACAAAGCTTCCCTTCAAATAATTAAATCTGTTCAAACTTTCACTGGCAATAACATGGTCAAGCGCAAATCTATCAATTCCCCCTATTTTGAAATACCCAAAGCACGTTCCCCGCCCAAACTCTTTCCAACTGGAAGTAAGGGTGGCAATGGACCCGGGACCCCACTCTGGTCCGGGTATGGGGCCAAAACCCGAACACTATTCGAATCCAAGTCCATGTGGACCCGACCCTGACCCAAATATTTTTCAAGTAATATAGAGCGCACATAAAAAATTTCACTAGAAGTAGTTTTGATACCCAAATATCTTCAAATTCATCATCTCGACATCAAGATGCATGTACATGAAGGTGTGCTCTACTTTGATTGTTTAGAACCTCGGCTCTATACAAACATTAAACATAATATTTAGATATATTTAAATATATTTTTTATTTATTTTTGGGTCAGGTCCAATGGATCCAGGTCTGGATCCGCCCCGGACCACCCCCAACTGGAAGTATAAAATACATCCAGACGCCAAAGATTAAAAAAAAAACAAACTTCCGAAGGTAACTTTGTGTATTTCCTACTCCAAACATGTGCCACGGTCATTTGTCAATAGCCGGGTTGGGCTCTACCTGGACTTAACCAACAAGATCCACAGGTTGACCCGGACCCTATCATGTCCAGGTCGATTGGATATGGACCTCCCTCACCAGTGGGTCGGGTTGGGTTTAAAATATAAAAATAACAATAGATAGATATGTTATTTAAGGGAATCTAGCAATTCGGGTTGTGCGTGAACCCTACCCAGTGCCAACCCAACCTGGTTATGTTTTGACTTGGAACTTCTGCCAGACCCAAAATGAGTTAAATCTATACTTCTGGACCAAAAGCAACTATTAGGCCCAAAAGTTTGAACCCAACTTGGACGTGGGTCTACTATGCCTACGACCGATTCACCCAAACTGATCCAAATGAATGGTTGGGCTAGCTTCAACCATAATGTCACCCCAACATTGTTTCTTTCATTTAATTTTATAAATCATCTTGATAGGAATTTAGAGGCATGCCCTAATTCTAATCCCAACAATTTTTTTGTTAAAAAAATAAAATAAAATGACCTTACAAGGGCATTCTGGAAATTTCATTCTACAAAAATATTTTACTTTTATTTTTCATCATGAGAAACTTCTCGCTGTTTTTTTGGTTTTTCCTAAAATTGAAAATAGTTGTTTGCAATGGTAAGGAAATCATGTACGAAGGAAAGATGCAGCCGATGTTTGTGCTTCAGTTTTTGCCCAAACATAATAACCATCGTATATATTTTTTTTAATTGATTGTTGGGTTTTAGTCAGATATTTCCTGGATATTTTCTATTGCTTCAGAATCAGAACATGTTATTACAAATATGAAAAGAAATGGCATCAAGTACCACCAAAGCTGCAGGAGGAGAAGGTGAAGTCGAGGAGCAACATTAGATGGGTCAGTAACAATACTCTTTCCTCCAAAATTTGAATCATGTTATCAGAAAGAACGACCTTTCTAAAGATTTTATCTGCTACTGATTTCCTTTCAAACACTGCTGAAGGGTCAGAAACTGCCGATTTTATTTGCTAAAACTTTCCTTTCTAAATATTTTATTTGCTAATACTTTTTGGGTTTAACCGTAAACCGTAAGGACCCAATTTCATTTAAACTTCTTGGATCCAAAGTATCTAAAATTGGTAGTCACATGATGATTACTTACCTTCCCTATTCGCATTCTGTTTGGCAATGTAGAATTTTACATTGAAATGATGGCTTCCCCTTCTCCTTCATGAGTTTTAATGAATTAGAGGAATCATTCAATAGTTTCACATTTGTAGAATTGTTTCTTTCTAACTTTTAAGAAAGGAAAACAGAAACATTTGTAGAATTTTATGGTCTTTGAGATTTCCAAGAGATTCCAACCATGAGGGACAAGAAATGCAGCTTGCCTACTAGCAGCATGTTTGACTTGTTCCAACTACTATTATTCAGGCACTGCTATGTCGCCTCCATAATTTGATGTTCCCGGCCTCCCCACTAAGCATCCATCTTGATACCAGACACTGCGCTTCAGCATTACAGGACTCAGCCAAGTAACTTGGCCTCACCTAGTGGCGAGGATAGTTAGGGGTGAGTTGGGTGCCAACTTCCAAGGCTCAAATAACTCCCAAAAATATATGTATATAAAAAAAGGAAACAAAAATATAAAAGAATTAGAAAACACCAGTATATTGGTTACCAATATTTTTTTTAGAAGTTTTTTTTGCTAGTTTCTAAGATCATTTGGAAACTTTCATATGTTTTCTAATATTATTTTCAAGGTGCAGATCTAATTTTTTAATGACCCATCTTTTATAGATGGGAAACGTTCATATAAGGTTGCAACCTTAAAATGTAGAATCACAAAGGCACCTCAAAAATCTATCGGAAATGTTGTTTTAATGTTGAAAAAGCTCTCTAATTAATCATCTCAACAATGAGATATATGAATATGAAAAAAAAGAGTTTTTGAATCCTGAAAATAATGCATCTTGCAACACATTATCTAGACCGTCTATTTTCAAGATTTTCATGTATTTATAGATCTACTTGATTTTCACCATTTTTTATA